TCGATGACACCCTCTTCTTTCATTTCTCGAAGGATTTTATCAGCTTCTTCGCGTTTGGCGAGCGGAAGTCTTCTCGGATTTTGTTTGATTGGTCGTGCATCTCCTGTATCAATTTTATGTTGTACTAAATTGGTACGACCTCTCTGTCCTGCTTCTCCTTTATCAAACACATCTTGATACTTGATTATCAGGTTTCTCAATTTTCTAATATTTTCGGGAGATAATCCCTTAACGTTTACTAACTCCTTCACCATTTTGTCCGGAATTTTTGAAGTCGAAATTTTGGAGGCTTCCACGCTTCGAACGACTGAGGAGACCGAACAACAGTACCCTAAGAGGGTTCCCTTCTTCAAGGATACAGAATAATAATTCGTGTTCATTACTCTCACCGGTACAGTTTTCTTCGCTCGTAGCAGGGCTTTTCCAACAGCGATCCCTCGTCCTATTTCGCTGTCATGGTTTCTTGGCTCCAACAGAATAATACTCCCATTATTCATTTTACCTTCCAGGCAACCATCCAAAAATATCTCACAGCGCTCAGGGATCGAAACATCTTCTGCTACCACCAGGCGAAGCGTCTCCTCACATTTTCGATGTAGAACGACTTCTTCTTCATTTATTTTTAAAATTCCCTGTTTGAAGTTTAGTTCAAAACCTTTAGTGGTCATGATGTCCATTCCGAGAATAAGTTCATCTTCGATATCTGCTACTAACACTGGATGTTCAAAACTGGTGCTCCCAATAACAAAATTAAGGTTTACTTCTCCATGGACAGCAGCGGAGCCCCCCGTAGCAGTACGTAGTCGCCATTGTGTTGTTTTAACCTTCTTCGATGTTTTAAGAATGTCCGGTCTGATGATAGTTTTCGTCGCACCTGTATCCAACAGCATGGTCCGGAACTCTCCATCAACAAAACCATCCACAAAAATGCTGTTGAATTTGTGTTGTAGCGAGGCGACTTGAGCAGTTTTCGTTGGGGCATGTTGGGTACAGGTCGACGTGTGCCCCTTCATTTCGACCCTTAGTAGTTTTCCGACCTCGACGAAGCCGGTTCTTCGTTCTTCTCCTTACAACGGCTTCGCACGTGTCCCACCTGTCCGCAGTTCCAGCAACGAATCGGTCCCTTCTTGCCCATGTACTGGTCCATTACCTTCCGAACAATCCCTTCCACGGATTCGTCGGAACATTCGTCGATGGCCCGTACTCTTCCTAAAGACCGAGAACTTTGTTTCGCGGCCTCAAATTCTAGGGCACGTGCTAAAGCATCCACCAAGTGCGTTGGGTGGGCTAGGAGAAGTGCTTGTCTTGTCTCGTTATCACGTAAGCCGTCGGAGAATGCCTGTACTGCCAACCGCTCCATAACATTCTCTGGCGTAGCAGGGTACGCAAGGCGAACGAGGCGGGCTACGTCGGCTTCAAACTCTGCAGAGACTCATTTGACTTTTGAATGCGATTTTTTAGCTGGGAATGATAGACATGTTCCAAATGAGCTTGGCCGTACCTCATTTCTAAATGTCGTACCAATTGCTGATAATCTCCCTGTTCCGATGGTGACAATGTCTGCAGGATATCAGTCGCATCTCCTCGCAGTGCGACAGTCAAAGCGGTAGCCTTTTCAGCGATTGTCCATCCGTTCGCTCTCGCAGCGGCCTCAAACTGGCAAAATAATTGGCCCAAGCGGTTTTTCCGTCAAACTGTGGAGGCTTAATAACTGATTTTGAGATATACTTATTTTCGACTAGTTTCGGTGCCTCCGATGTTTCTTGACATTTTGGTGAATTTGCCTTTGCTATTTCTTGTTTTAAAATTTCGATTTTTCTATTTACATCTTCCTCAATCTCTGTTATTTTATTGTTAAAACTTTCTTCCAAAATTACTATTTTATTATTAAAGCTGGCCTGTATATCTTTAGAATTTTCGATGATCTTATCTTCTAATGTATTGATTAAATCCTGGGAATTTTCCATAATTTTATCACTGATTTTCTCTTCTAAATTAAATTCCAAGTCAATTATTTTACTATTCAAATTGTTCAAGTTGTCGTCTAATTTTTGTAGGCACGAGTCAAGGTCACCTTCCAACTCAAAGCAAAATGTGTCAGGATCCTCACCTTCCTCCACCAAAACGTCTCTTAGTCTAGCTTGCAAAATGCTTTTTCTTTCCATCTGTTTCGCATTCCCTCTCTTCCAGAACGCTTTTTAATTCCGACACTTTCAAGTCTTTCAACAATTTTTTTCGGAGCCATTGTCTGTCTTTTTATTTTACTAGTCTATCACACGCCACACTTGACACCAATTGTTACGTTTTTCGTCGGTTCCGTGTGGATAGAAAGTCACAATTTATTTAAACACTATTTATTTAACACTAATTAACAAAAATAATAACGATAAAAGACTTATAGAACTATTTACAAACGATTTATAACTAAGAATTTATTTTGAATTTTAGCGCGTCAACTGTATATTTATAACTGCCCCTGTAGGCCACCGCCGCCGGCTTTTATACCAACAGGTAAAGAACTCTAGAATTGTCCATAGATCGTTAGGTGCGTAGAGAAGGTTTTCGAATGTTCTCGTATGTACTCGTCCATTCCAGTGGGACTCGATTCTTCTCGAACGAATGAATCATTGCGGTGTCTATGCGATGTTAAGGTCATACGAGGGCGGGCCATATTGTGAGGTTAGGTCGAGTCCACACGGGCCCGCAACAATAATGACGTGTATTGACTATTTCCATTCTAAATATCTTGAGAATGGTTGCTCGTAGCGATTTTTACCAAGTGACATTTTTTACGTAAAAAATCAAGGAAATGTATATTTTTTACTCAGTAGTTTTTTATACAGGTACGGACGAAAATGTTATTACTCCTGAAAACAATTAAAAAACATGTAGGTGGCGCCCAAGAACGGTAAACTAATAGGATTGCTCATCCTCATAAGACGTACGTTCGCCTCTTCCCGCGCTGCAGCTGACAGTTGTGACGTCATTGTAGTCCTTGTCATGATAGTGTGTATTATTGTTGCCTATGGTAAACTTATAAAAATAACAGTTGAGAAATTTTGAGTTAATTATTTTGTCAATTTTAAATGTGAAAAAGGTGTTTTTAAAGTTTTTAGAGCTATAGAGTGTATAAATACGTTCATTTTGTGTTGTGGATTGTACATACAGCCATTACTCGCTGACGAGTATTCGACACACATCAGAAGATGGTCACGCAAGGCGTTTTCTTTCATGAGCTTTTCTGCGTGACTGAAAAGCCCGATACGTAATGTTATCTGCCTACCGCACTCCGGACATTCAAAAATCTCATTGCTTTGTTGCCTCTTTACTTTTTGGTTGTCGCTGTTAACTGAGTTGACAACTCTTCTCGTTGTGGATTGTGACAAAGTGCTTACTAAGTGCCTACGATATTGTTTATTAATTATTTTAAAGCAAAATATGGAAGTACTCTAAAAAGAATGCCTGCAAAAGGTTATGCTGGGAACTGCTGTTCTTAAAAATGCATTATCCGAGTATTTAATACGATTTAAGCTTGATTTTCATGCATCCGTTGTCCGACGATACGATAATACGATATTAATTTTATTGGTAGAATTTAACGACTTTGATTGGTTAGAAAATAACGCAGTTTTTAAATTTATTGCATTTTCATGCCTCCGTTTATCGGATATATGTTGGTGTTATTTTATATTTTGCGTTTCCATAACGATTTTGCTATTTTACTTATATTTTTATTAAGGTTAGATTAAATTTGTCAAAAAGGTGTAAAAACCAAAGGTAAAAACGTCCGTTATCGTATGAACGGGTCCGTTGCCGGGCTGAAGTAAAATATTTACGGATGAAAAGTGGCGCGAAAACTCTATGACCAATCAGAAGACCGTCGGACCATCGCCATCGTATCAACGTATAACGGATGCATGAAAATCAAGCTTTAAGGTGTTTAAATAAATAAACTAAATAATGAACGTTTTGCATTCGGCAACCAATAATGCACGTGTGTGTATTACTGGTTGGCGGATAAAAACTAATTGAATAACCATGACAAGGACTACAATGACGTCACAAAGCGAGGAGTTTTCGCATACACCTGGCAGCAGGGTTCGGAAGTAGTTAATTAAGACGTAATTTACCTGATTAACTACGTGTAGTTTTTCTTCAAAAACTACGTCTTTTCCCGTTCATTAACTACATGAAAACTACGTTAATAAACTCTGTATTGATATTATGAATAATTTTCCTTTGTATGAGGTGTAATAGAGATATATGATGTAAATATTATATTTAAAGCCATATTTCTTCTGTTTTCTTAAATACATTATGGTGTTTTTAAAGCTTCAACTTATTATAACCTCACCTCAAACCTTTGACATTTGAAAGTTACATACATAGGTTACATAAACTACACCCTCTACATAAACTACATTAACTACATGTAATGTAGTTTATGTAGTTTTTAAAAGTAACATGTAGTTTTCCGAACCCTGCCTGGCAGACACTGTTGGCTGAATGAGCAGTCCTATTAGGTTAACTGTTCTTGGGTGGCGCCCCCTACAAATAGGAGTCATATTGACATCAAAATCAAATTTCTCATGGCAAAAAACTACCAGACACCAATTTTCATCCAAATATTGACGTTACTTTACAAATTATTTGGAAAAAATCGAAATAAAAATGAAACTTCTACACCCTGTATCTCCGAAACTAAGCATTTTAGGACATACATTTATACGAACTTTTTAACTCATTTTCATTCACTTTTTAACTTATTTTTATCTGCAGAATATGCTGCCCAAGTTTGCAGAATACAATTCGGACCACCCTGTATATAAAAAATATTGAGAGGAGAGCCTTGCTGAACTCCACGCTCCACGCTATATGCAAGGAACAGGAATTTGGAACTGTTCCACGAACATAACAAAAGTAGTACTGAAAAATCGTCGTTTCTGCTCTACCCAAAAGCATAGACATAAATTTTATGAATGTTCCAAGTTGGTACTTACCTCGCATAATGTTACGCCAGTCTCCAACTTCTCCATGAAGTTCTCCACGGCGATATTAAGGTGAGGATACATGGTCTGCAACCACTCAGCTAAATCCTCTTTCATAGCATAGAGGTACTCTTCGCTGGACTTGAAAGGCCTGAACGGTCTGGCTTCCAATAGTACCGAACTCATTTTTAGTTTGTTGATTTAAAAGTGCACGATAAAATAAAATTATTTTGATTGTGTAAGTCGACCACGGACGGTTTTGAGATTGTTTTACGAGAGTTAACTAACTCATTTATTAGTTAAGGAATGAGGAAGGTTCATCGTATCGCGAATGATGGGGATGTTTTCGATTTTCGGTTTGTTTCTGTTTGTCGTTGGGTAGGACGTGTTATTTGACCTGAAACAAATAATAAAAAAATATTAATAAATAAAGTAGCACTGAGTCTGTGAATGATTCTTTGCGAAACATTTTAATAAAACACGCTTTTAGATGTTTCGAGTTTATTCAGAGTAATTTCAGTCAATCTGGTATCAAAAAAGGTCTAGACTCCCATGCCAGTCGTAAGTGGTCCACTGGAAAAGCTTAAATTCGAAAATTCGTATCCCCCCACCCCACCGTTTTTGAGAAACTCAAAAAAATTTTGGATTCGATTTTCTGGCTGAACCGTAGGTCCCACAGAAAATTTTATGGAACAAAAAATGATGAGAATTAAATTCTCTACATTTTCATCTCCAAGCAACAAACTTCTAAAACCTACGGGGACAAAGTTAGAGGACGCCAAAATCACTTTGTATTTGTCTTCTTTTTTGCTTCCGACGCGACGACGGAAAGAGGAACTTTCCGAAACGTTTGTTGTTCGTTAGGCAAATTTGTATATTAGAGTGGAACGAAAAAAAAAAATTTCCAAAATATTTTCACACAAGCCTCAAAATATGCCTTTAGATAAGTAGTTTTTTTTCTCAAAAGCTGAGCGCCCTGCCTTTGTATCTTCAGGTTCCTCACGGACCTTAAAAGCTGAGATATTTTGAAAAATATTTGTTTTTTTGCCCGTCAACATATTTGATAATTATTTATATTTTACCTTTAACACACTGCTTAATATGACTATAAAATATAACCCAATATTGTTATCCAAACTAAATCACTTAAATTATTGTTTTCCGGTTCCTCAATATATTTGAAACTTGTCCACCTGCATGATAAACTACCATCCGTGGTAGTTGCCTGTGACAAAACTGGAGTTTTAGATCACGCGGCCGCTATAATCGCAAATGCTGTTTTAGAGGATATTGCAGTAGTGTCTAAAAGCAAGCTACACAGATAGTAGATAGAATGAAGATCAGGAGGGCCAGAATGTCTCAACGTAACATTTGTACTAGTGTATTAGGTGTGTTTTTTGATGGTCAAGAGGACTCTACTATTATTTACGATAAGAATAAAAGGAAGAGAAAACGCGTTGTGGAAGAACATATTTCTATTCTAAGTGAACCCGGTTCTAAGTATTTGGAACATATCACACCGGAAAGCGGATCTGCATGCCATATAAAACGGTCTTTGGTTAATTTCTTGAAAGAAAAGTTTGACTTGACCGAACTTTCTGATTTAGTAGCAGTTGGGACAGATGGAACTGTTATGAATACGGGAGTGAAAAATGGCGTTATTCGTTTGTTGGAAAAATAATTAAAACGTCCCTTACAATGGTTAATTTGTTTATTCCATTTAAATGAACTTCCTTTGCGATATTGAGTAAAAGAACTAGATGGTGAAACTTCGGGTCCCGGTGGACTCAAAGGTGTTATTGGACAGAAACTAGATAACTGTGAAACCCTAGCTGTTGTAAAATTGAGAAGAATTGAAACTATCTAATAACACAGAATTGAAACTGTCTAATAAAACACGCCTAACACATTTTGGGGCTTGTGTGAAAATGTTTTGAAAAAAAAAATGTTTTCGTTCCATCCATATCTATAAACCTAACTTCTGACAAGTAGTTTCCGTTTGGGTTTATTTATTTTTATTATTGGGCTTATTTTTATTTTGTAGATTTTCTTGCAGTGGCGAAATACCCATAAGTACCTATAGGATTTTTTGGAGAGATGAATCCGCGACATTTTTTAATATTATTCAGCCAATAATATCCAAAATTCAGCATATTGTCTTACGTTAAATTTTCTTTTGCTTCTCTTGACAATTTTTAATAATAAAAATTGTAAATAAAGTTTATCAATTTATTATTTAAATAAAATAACGCTTTATTGTACAAAAAGCCAAAATAGCTTCATCGACAAAGCATTTAAAAAAGCAAGCAAAAGCACAAAAAAATATACAAATAATAAAAAAATATCATACAATACAAATCATACAATTCAAAAAAAACGTCATTATAATTACAAATAGAACATACACGGACATTGTAGAACACAAAAAAAGACGTATCAATAAAATAATATAATTATTGATTATAATTCATACTTTTATTTCGTTTATTTGAAAGTGAACTTAAAAAAAACTTAAATAAAATTCGTTAAAATATATTTAAAAATATTAAAAAGTAGGTAAATATTTATTCAATAAATATTGTTGTTGCGTATAAACGATGATTTAATATTTGTTTATTGTAAATCACATCATTTTAGACAGGTTGGTTTAATTAAAATTATTAACTATTTAAATAAATAGACCGCATTATTATGTTTATTTCTCATTCTCGTTAGAGAATATTTGTTTAAAAATTTAATTCCTGTTGATATAATGATGTGTTTCTGTTGACAAAACGGAAAATCCTTAAAAGATGAGATAAGATTTTGCAGGTACAAATCTATACAAGTCGCAGATAAAGTTCGCATCATATGGCATTTTCTATTACTAGATTCAGATCAAATTTGAGTTTTGCGCTAATTTATGCTTTCAAATCAAAGTTTCAAATAGATTAAAAATTACATAATAAAAATCAACCTGTTGCTCTTGGGTATCTGTCAAATTTGACATTAAAAGTTATAAATAGCAAAATAATGGTTTATTGGCCGAAAAAAATAGTTATTTGTGCAACTGGTGCAAAAAGGACATATTTGTTACACGACGCATGAGTGTTGCAGCTCTCGAGACAAAGTCGAGAGCTGCAATCATGCTGAGTGCAACGGATATTCTTTTTGCACATGTTGCACACAGCATCTTTTCAACGATCGAATTTAAATGTTTATTAAAAAGTTTTTACAGTAATTCACAGAATAATATTACCACCAACAATGACAATTTTTTAATATTTATCTTAATTTTAATATCGCAGTTTAAAAAACTTAATTTAAGGTAATTGATGGACAAACTTCATTTCCAGTAGTCTTTTGAATTTTATTTTCATTTCTCCTCGTGGAGGTCTCGGGTTCTTGTTCTTCACTTAAAACTCTTTTCCGGAATGTTGGTGTGAAATGTCCAGTACTAATATTTGTTTATCTTCCATGATTTGAAAAACCTACGTTTACATATCTAATTTTCGTTTTTTAATTTTCCAATTTTCATTTTTGAGATTTACACATTTTGATACAGAGATAGGTAGTTAATAGTTGTTAAAAAGAAGGACATTTGTATAGAGGTAAATTTTGTACAGTTAACTTATTCTTTGGTTTGATTCCAAAAACACGTAACAGTTCTATGTCCAAGGAATACTCTAAAGCACCCTCTACAGGGTGAGTCTTAAATAAGTGCAAATATTTTCAGGGGTGGTATATTTCGACCCCAGGAACACGTCTATGAGGTTTTTTTCGAAAAAAAAAGATGTTGAAATTCGTGCATTTTCTTTTAAATTTCCCTGTATATTTTTCGAAAATTTTTTAGAACTTACCACGGTGTAATTTCTTAATCTCAGATATTACCATAGTTACGGCTTTACTCTATGGTTAAGGCACTAAAAGGGATGCAATTACTGAAAAAAATCCGGTGGTTCTCAAAATTTTTTCAAAAAAAATCATTTTTTTTTAATTTCCAAACTTAAATAACTCGGTTATTTTGGACTTATCTGAAAAATGGTAAAGAGAAAATATGTTTCTTTTTTCGAGATCTACCAGTACTGAAAATATTTGCACTTATTTAAGACTCACCCTGTATATCTTCAGAAATTAAATGTCACCAGAGTCACGAAAATATAAATACGAAATATTTGAAAAATGCAGGTACTCCATATTGCTTAAAATGTAAAAGCTTTATTTATGTATAACTTTTTTTCTTTGACTGCAATAGTAAAATGGTAATAAAATTAGGTGCTCGAACCTTTGGCAACATTACAACAGCAAAATAAAACACTAATTCCCAACAATACACCAATGGTTAGTGAAACACGCGTCCAGTAAAGTGTTTTGGTGTATTGTTTTTATTTTACAATGAAAGGTTAACACAAAAAAACTAAAAATCATTACCTATATAATATTCTCAACACAAACAAAAAAATTACCAAATATTCAAAAAAGCATCCGGTACTCTGTACGTAATCATTATAGGTGTATTGTTTTTAAAAATAAAAACTTTTTGCAAAATTTCAAGTACCTATCCCAACCAGAACAAAATAAAAACATCACAGTTCTTAATCATCTTACTGAGACATTTAATTTTGATAAGAAAATATTTTTCAAAAAAAAATCTACCTACCACAAATTTTCAACTACCCCGGCCTGCTCAAATCAAAGTACCATGCAAAGACGAAAACAAAACACACACAAGTTTCTACGTAACAGTAAAACAAATTAAACAATCTACGAAAAAAACACAACAAAAGTCAACGCAAAATAAATGAACAACACAAAAAAATCAAATCATCGACCGAGAAATCGAATGGTACTACCGGTAAACAAAACACACTCACGCTGTTGTGTATTGTTGTCAAAGCTCTCGCGATCTAACGCGGTACGTACGCGTTGGGACACTGTCGTTTGGTTGCGCGGGTACGACTATCAATACCGTACTGCTACGGCAAATCGGCTAGGCCAAATAAATCGCTCAGCCTACTTGATATCTCGAGAGCGGTGGCTGCGAAAGATGGATAGGAAAATGTTGGGGGCGGTTATTAGATGTGGGGTATATTAAGAAGAATTTTAGGTTGAAGCCGCATCAGCACCAGTAGTAGTACTATTTAGCAGCATATTTCTCCGTGTTTTAGTTATTTTTTAATTCTTCTTTATGACCGATAAATCCTGGGGTACTATCCAATTTCCTTCAAAAACACAAATAATTTAAATCTTCCCTTTGTTGAAAAAATGTTGGTTATAGAGCTATTGAGATCAAGCCTAGTTCTTAATTTGAACAAATTCTCACATTCTACAAGGAAATGGGCAACTGTTGGGAAGGGGGTTAATCACTGCGACCTTACAGATCGAAGATTGTGTGTCCTTCTTCAATTGCGTGTTATCTTTCTTGAGTTACAACGAGTTATAACTCATCATACAGTCACAGAGCTTTAACAAAAGCCAGTATCAGAGACGGCTTCACAGAGGCTAGTTCTCCATCTCCGATATCAGTCGTACCAAAGTTTATGGTACGAATGGTTGTCGTCTCGGCGCATTCAGTGACGAGGGGTTCTGGTGTTTCCCCATTTTCCTCGCAGAATCTGTTAAAAACCCCGTGACAATCTAAAGATAGTTCTTACTTACAATCAATCTTGGACTTGGTCTTGGACAAAATCTATATACTTTGATGTGTTACTTAAATTTTTGAATAAACAATAAATTGTTTTAACTTATCATTTATTTATATTGTACAAAATTTATCTGTACGTACCTAATGGAGGACATACATTTCGGGGACCCACTTAAGATATACCAACACAATGAATAATAATATTAACATACTTCACATAATATCATCAAAAATAAACAATACTAATATCATATATATTTAATTTTGTAGCATTTGTATTGTATTAATGGTTTTTCTGAACATGATTGTAGATTCTGCCATACCATCGAGAAGAAAACAGCGTCAAAGACGGCTGGGAATTACAATCGATGATAATTTTGGCGAGGTCAAGCCCTAGATGTCATTGCTTGGCCGTACCCCTGTTTATTTTTTAATGGCGCTTACTGTCAGTTGTCATCTGTAGCTCCTATAATAAAAACTTAGGAATTTTGTATAAGTACCAACCTACAGTATATATTAGGATGTATTTCAGGAAAATATTTTAACTTCTACAGGGTGGCTCAAAAAAGGGTGAGTGGATGGGGATGATTTTTTATAAATGGAACACCCTGTATATTATTGCATTTTTGGCTTCCTTTTTGGTCACTTTACATAATCCTAAAATATTATTCAATATGCTTTGATAGTTGATACTTTCAAAGATATTAATAAATAAATAAAAAGAATTTTAGCCTTTCTTAAAAAAATATTAGAAATAAAATAAATGTACTAAAATCAAAACTATATTAGGGTTTTGCTGTAATGGGTCTGTGCTTACTTTGCTACAAATACCGTTTAAACCATACAGGGTGTTCAAAGTCCTATTCCAAATTTTCTAAAATATATAATAGCTTTTCTTCGTTTTCTTTTAAATGAAACACCTTGTATATTATTTTTTGTTTTTACTCACTTTTTTGTATTGTTGAGCCACCCTATAGAAGTTAAACTATTTTCCTGAAATACATCCTAGCACATACTTTAGGTTTGCACTTAAACAAAATTCCCAAATTTTTAGCCGACCATACCGACAGGCCCGTCTGCCCGTCTGCCCGTCTGTCTGTCTGTCTGTCTGTCTGTCTGTCGGTCCGTCCGTCCGTCCGTCCGTCTGTAACACGATAACTCAAATACCGCTAAACCGATTTTAACCAAATTTGGTACAAAAATACTGTGGCACCCGAGAATCTGGCCATTAGTTTTTGGTGGGGGTGGGGGATTGGTAAGGGGGTATGGGAGGGAGTTAAAATTTTGAAAAATCGTAACTCCAAAATTACAGTAGCTAGCGACACGCGATTTTCAATTTAAGATTAGGAATAATATTTGCAACAAAATTTGTAATAACATCAAAGTCAGTCAAAGTCGCAGTTTTTGAGATAAAAAAAAATATCAAGTATGGGCGGCTATAAGTGTCTCCCGGCGCCAATTTTTTATTCTAGGAGCTACAGATGCCCGAAGCACTTTTGCCGAACCCTGTATAATACACTAAGGGTAATTCCTGCCGTGAGGCCAGGGTAAGTTTAAGAAGAATCGGTCACAGCTTTTTTTTAAATTTGGATTTTTGCATAAAATAAAAATAGTAGCATCTTTGTTATTTCAAATGGAACACCTGGTATATTATTACATTTTTTCGAAACTACTTTCATATCTCATAAAGCTGTCCCTTAGATTTGCGTTGGAAAGCATTCCTTAATATAGATATGCCACTAAATATTTTTTGATTAATGCTTAAGTATCTTTTAACACAATTAGTCAAAAAAGTATCACAATTGGATTTAATACAACAATTTTTAAAACATATATCACAATTATTATTTTAGTCGATGAGCTAGATTTATATCAACAAACTTTTAGATATTCTCTATACATATAATTTCTATTATTCTACAAGATAAAAAGTTTGGATTATATAGATTAACGGCTTTGCTAGAATAAAACTAAAGTTTATTGTCAATGAGTCAAGTAATTCGTTTTTAATTGTTATAAAGGTATTTTAATTGATTTATGTTAGGTAATAATTAAAAATTTATAATTTAATATAACAATGGCAATATTTTAAAATTAAAAGTGAATTATTAAAATTTCACATGTCAAGTCAATTTGTCAAGAGTGGTCAAGGACCTATCATTGGAGATATCATAAAACGGTTTGTCTCAATGCATTCCACGTAAATCTAGATACTGGCTTTTGTAAGAGAGTTATAACTCGTTATAGCTCAAGAAGACAGGGGAACACTCAATAGATCTCCAAAGTGGCGGTGATTAACCTCCCTCCTAAACATTTTACATTCTACATGAAAACTGCAAAGTCGTGAAAAATGTGTTATGAACAAATTATACAGCAAAGTTTGTTGACTCCAATATCCCAGTAATACTATCTTGTAAATTCAACGTCACTTGTTTATAAATATGTTACTCTAGACTTTAAACGCACTAAGAATACTGAATCGTAAGATTTGAAAACTATATCTTAGATCTTCCCTTATCTTAACAAATATATCTAGTATTATACCTACTCTGGAAGCAGGACCAGGATTGGAGTTGTTTAGAAAAACATTGGAAAAACCATGCTAGACTTACCAGTTCTTGGTGACAGATCTCACCCTCGGATATAATAATTTATATTAGAAGGCTGGGCCTTGAAGGTGAATTTTAAAGTTTGTAGAACTGGGCCACAATCGGTACTAGTGGCCGCAGTTGGGTGTCCCACCTGGGACCCACTCCTTCTTAGTAAATTCAATACTATAGCAACTCATCAAAAAGCTCTTGTCGCAGATATAGCGGTATAGACTCCAATTCAATAGTTCTACAATGTATCATGCATCTTGTATCTTAATTAGTTTGGAATAAATCCGAGAATAAATCATATACAGTAAGATTTTAACTATCAGAGGCTATCAGTAAATTTGATTTTTAAAATAAATGATTAAAATAGGTTTTAACATCAAATCAATATAGTGACCTAGGCCCCCTAAGACACTGAGTCGCCCTAAAAGCCTTTGTCTAGTTGCGCCCCGTGTCCCCAACTGGCAAGAAATAAAATAGTTTTAATTCCAACAAGATTTTACTAAGAATTAGTATAGCACCGTGGATCCTGGCGCATTCGCCATTATTTAGATTTTAGATTTTTGTTGCTTCAAAATGCAAAACACCAAGAATAGGATTCATTAATCTGAATTCTGTTATAGAAGGATAGATAAAATAAAATAGTCACTATTTTAATAACTACTTAATATATACGGGTATGATAAGAATTGTTATTCTTAAGAAGTACATTATAAAAAGGTGTTTTTTTAAATCTCTCTTCTCTACAGGTAATTAATTTTTAACATTTTTTATTAACACATTATAACAATAACATTAGATATTTGGGCTTCAATAAAAATATTTCTTAACCATAACAAAAAGAATTAAATTATTATACCGAATATCTTTTACAGTATCAACCCTATTTATAATATACCACGTTGGCAAGCGAAACTTTGGGTCGGCGTTTACACATTGGCGGTTCGTGGGGAAAAGTAAAGAGTTAATTCTGTTTAAATTGCGCGGCAGGCGAAAATTTTTTTTGCGCATTCACCATTTTATCAACATTTTTTAAAATATTATTTGAAAATTTTTGGCTCCATTCACCATTTTGTCAACATTTTTTATTGTTATTATTTATACACTAATACCTATTATTTTCGTTTTAGTTTGGGCTAAAACGCATTAAGTAAAAAGAGATACGACCAGTTTTCGATAAACAGATTATTTTGCATTCCAGTAAAAATATAATTAAATATAATAAACATTATATGGACTATATGGACGTTTCTTTTTTTATATTAGAGTTTTAAAAAAAAATTTTGTGGCAATCACTTCTGGTTTGAAAACAACTTAAAATGCACCAAGCCAAAGTTGACAGCTAACATCTGAGAAAAATTGGTTAAATTATTATTATTTTAAAAAAAGTGACTAACAAAATTATATTTCAACTTTGACTTGGTGCATTTTAAGTTGTTTTTAAAGCAGAATTGATAGCCACAAAAAGTTTTTTTTAAACTCTAATACCAAAAAAAATCGTCCATATGGATCCAACTTTATGGCGAACACTGTAATTATTGAATGGCTTCGCCGAAAAACGTTGTAACCGACATTTTTTTCAAAATAGAGATTTCAGTGAAATAAGGTTGTAATTTTAAGCAATATTAACCAAAATAAATTTAACTTATTTATATTACTAACCTTACTAATTTTTATACCTAAATCAGCTCAATTTTTCTGTTCTTTATTGATGCAAACTTATCAGTACTCGTAATATCGTCACA